CCAGTGATCAATCAATTGTGATATCTGTTCAACATGTCATGAGGTCCTCGGTCACAGGAAACACCACTGTTGATACACTGGATAAGATTCAAGAAAGGAAGAACAAGAAGGCAGCAATCAATACCAGTCGAACAAGAGCAGAAAAAGACAAGGCACAAGCTGAATACACAGAAGTAAACAAACAAGTGAGGAGGAGCATCAGAACCGACAAACGTAAATATGTGGAAGATTTAGCAACGACGGCGGAAAAGGCTGCAAGAGAAGGAAACACGAGACAATTGTATGACACGACAAAGAAACTCTCTGGAAATCGCCGCAAACCAGAACGACCAGCGAAAAGCAAGGAAGACAAGGTAATCACCAACATTGAAGAGCAACAAAACAGGTGGGTAGAACACTTCAAAGAACTCTTGAATCGACCAGCTCCACTGAACCCACCCAACATCGAAGCAGAACCCACGGACCTCCCACTCAATGTTGGCCCACCAACAATTGAAGAAATCAGCATGGCCATCACACAAATCAAGAGTGGCAAAGCAGCAGGACCAGACAACATCCCAGCAGAGGCACTAAAAGCAGACGTAGCGGCAACTGCAAGGATACTCCACATTCTCTTCAATAAGATTTGGGATGAGGAACAAGTACCAAAAGACTGGAAAGAAGGACTTCTGATCAAAATACCGAAGAAAGGCGATCTCAGCAAGTGTGTTAACTACAGGGGCATCACTTTTCTCTCAATACCGGGAAACGTCTTCAACAGGGTATTGTTAAACAGGATGAAGGACTGCGTAGACGCCCAACTTCGTGACCAACAGGCAGGATTCCGTAAGGATAGATCGTGTACAGACCGAATCGCAACTCTACGGATCATTGTGAAACAATCAATTGAATGGAATTCATCACTCTACATCAACTTCATTGACTACGAAAAGGCATTTGATAGCGTGGACAGAACAACACTATGGAAACTTCTTCGACACTACGGCGTGCCCCAGAAGATAGTCAATATCATACAGAACTCATATGATGGATTACACTGCAAAATTGTGCATGGAGGACAGTCGACAAAGTCGTTCGAAGTGAAGACCGGTGTTAGGTAAGGTTGCTTACTCTCACCCTTTCTCTTTCTCCTGGTGATCGACTGGATCATGAAGACGTCAACGTCTGAAGCGAAGCACGGGATACAATAGACATCTAGGATGCAGTTGGACGATCTAGACTTCGCAGATGATCTGGCCCTTCTATCCCAAACGCCACAGCAAATGCAGGAGAAGTCGAACTGTGTGGCAGCAGCCTCAGCAGCAGTAGGTCTCAACATACACAAAGGGAAAAGCAAGATTCTCCGATATAACACAGCATGCACCAATCCAATCACAATTGACGGAGACGATTTGGAAGATGTGAAAACCTTTACGTATTTGGGCAGCATCATTGATGAACAGGATGGATCTGATGCAAATGTGAAGGCGCGGATCGGCAAAGCAAGAGCAGCATATTTACAACTGAGGAACATCTGGAACTCAAAGCAACTGTCAACCAACACCAACGTCAGGATTTTCAATACAAATGTCAAGACAGTTCTACTGTATGGGGCAGAAACCTGGAGAACTACGAAAGCCATCATCCAGAAAATACAGGTGTTTATTAACAGTTGTCTACGCAAAATACTTCGGATTCGTTGGCCGGACACTATTAGCAACAACGTACTGTGGGAGAGAACAAAACAGATCCCAGCGGAGGAAGAAGCGCTGGAAGTGGATAGGACACACATTAAGGAAAGCACACAACTGCGTCACAAGACAAGCCCTCACATGGAATCCTCAAGGCCAAAGAAAAAGAGGAAGACCAAAGAACACATTACGCCGAGAAATGGAAATAGAAATGAAAAAAATGAACAAGAATTGGATGGAAGTAGAAAAGAAGGCCCAGGACAGAGTGGGTTGGAGAATGCTGGTCGGCGGCCTATGCTCCATCGGAAGTAACAGGCGTAAGTAAGTAAGTAACAGGCTATCTGAATCTTGTTAATTACGTATTTGACATGAATTTCATGACATAAGAGAAACCATTTTAATTGTACTTACATACGACGATTCACTCCATGTGACAACGAAAATTACGAGTATGAAGTATACATTGAACATTCTCTATGAAAATGAATAAAATTGTACAATACAACTTATCTATAAACACCGATTTATGGTTAGAATTTAACGAATACCATGACAATTTTAGTCTGAAAACATATTTGGTTAACATCATGTAACGGTTAAGGGTGTACAATATTGAAAAGTGCCGAACGAGCACAAAACAACTGTCCATTATTCCCTGCTTCTCACTAAATCTCAAACTGATGTTGGGTCATGATGAGAGTAACCAATAAAGTCAGTCACAGTGAAGGCTTAGAAACTTATGAGAAGTGGGTAAACTAAAAAATTGTAAAATATGAACGAATTTAGGGAGTGAAGTAGTCGAACGCGTTGACAACTTCACTTATCTTGGAAGTCTGATTGGCCCTAATGTGTTGGTGTCTCAAGAAATCTCAGCACGGATTCGAAAAGCTCTTTTGGCTTTTGACAACTTACGTCACCTATGGTGAAGACGAGATATCTGTCTATCAATTAAGGGACGAGTATACTGCGCGGCAGTTCGTTGTTCTACTTTATGGCTGCCAAACCTGGACATCTGGAGTAGAAGACACTCGCAAGTTACTAATACTTGACCACAGACGTCTTAGAAATATTGCTCGCATCTGCTGGGATCACCGGGTAAGTAATAGTGAGGTTAGACGCAGAGTATTAGGGAATGATGGTAAATCCGTTGGTGAGGTTGTGAATCTTCATCAACTGAGACGGTTGCACCGCATGTTGCGTATGCCTGAACACCGATTACCACGACGCAAAATGATGAATAGTGTAGGGGATGGTTAGAAGAAAGTTAGGGGCGGCCAAACCAAAACGTGGCATCAGTGCTTGAAGTCACTAAGATTTGATCTGAGTCATGTTGGTAGATACAAACTGTTTGATTGCGGCCCGCGTGACTATCATAACCAATAGTTGGAGACTCTTGGTGACATGGCTCAGAATCGATCACAATGATCTCGGTGCATACATCCTTTGTCTTCCCTTAAACTATGAAATTAAAATCACTTCATATCTTTCTTTCTATGAATTAATTCTTCCTGTTTTATGTCCTTATAAACAATCTTTCTTTTATATATTACCACCACTGAATTAACTGCTTCTATGAATCCTGTGTTCATCTTGTTGTGTTAATGTGGTATGACAACTTGGACCGATGCATATATATGCCTTTCCTACGTTGTAGATGACTGACATGTCATTATCTCCCTATTAATTAAAAAAAACTAATAGACTAGGTAACTAAATCATGAAATTTAAAGTGTTTTTTTGTTGTTTAATAATTAATAATAAATTATTGGGGATAACAACCACATTTATTACTATGATATACACTTTGAAGTAAACAAAGACAAAGATGACCTTTAACCATCATATTCAAAAAAAAATTTTTAATTCATGAATAATAAACACAATAATTTATACTTTATTCATAAGATAATTAACATGTGACAGGATTCAAAACTTAATATTACACCAATTGATATAATAATAATAATAATAATAATAATAATAATAATAATAATAATAATAATAATAATAATAATAATAATAATAACAATAATAATAATAATGATAACAATAATAGTAGTAGTAGTAATAATAGTAATAATAGTAATAATGATCGTACCAAGTCCAAATGTTTCACCTATCGAATCTGAACTAAGTCCACGTGTATGTATGGTGTAATAAGATAAAAACTCATCAAAACAAAATATGATTATTTTATTTTCAAAGCTAAATATATGAATAATTGTTGTGCATTTTTTTAAAAAAAAACTGTATTTATTTTGTTTTATCTTAAAACTTCAACTGATCATGATGATGAAATTAATGTATCATTTAATTGTGAATAAGTTATGAAAATGTTAGTAGGAATATTATGAATAGTATAGAATAATTATATTTATTGATAATGGTTAACTAGAAGTTCTGTTCGACATGTGCATCACAGATAATTTTGTCATCATTAAGTAACATCAGATATTAGCGAATGATGTTTTAGGGTGTAGGAGTATGTTGGAAGGAAGTTAGGGACGTCCAGACCAAAACATGGCACAAATCCATGAAGTTACTGACAAGTGGACTGAGCCATGCTAGTAAGTGTAGACTATCTGATTGGGATCCGTGAGACGTTAGCAAACGATAGTTAAAGACCTTGAATGATATGACTCAAAATCGTTTGTAATGGTGCAGGTGCATCCACTCTTTGTGATCGCCTGAATTCTTTATGTCCCTTTTTTCTCTTTCCAGATTTATTTCGGTGAATTATACTCCTTGAATATAATTTTCAAGCCCTATTCTTTCCTATTACTGCTTATAATTTTACTGCCTCTAACACTATGGGATTTGGATGGACAATTGTATCTCTGTGCTAATGTGGTATGGAAACTTAAACTGATGTACGTGCGTACGAAGTTATACATTGTCGCTGACTGACTGAGATATTAACTGATTACTATGCAGTAATACCTCATGTATTTCGGAAAATGCTACTCAAAGAAGCTAAAATTAAGATACTCAAGACATCCAGATCAACGGATAGATACTTAAAAACAGAACTACTCAGTATGTTTTTTTCCAATTTTGGTAAACAGCCTATTTATATGCAAGATATTTAACGATCTTAAAGACCATAGTTGAAGACCCAAATGAATTTTAAAAAAACACCCTATGATCTGTAGATTGTTATTACACAATTTCGCCCCAGTATGTGGTAATGAACTTAAAACACGAATTGATCAATAAATGTCCTCTTCCTTCTTTTCTCTAAACTTCAAATTTAAAAATCTGCGCTTTTAACTAAGAATATGTCTTTATTTAGTAGAGGAAAACCTTGACGTTCAAAGCTGAGTAGCATGAATTGCATGCATAATCTCACTCTAGTATCTTAAACATCTTTGTTTACTGAAGTCTTGTTAAACAGAACAATTAACCAATACTTACCATAAAATACCTCAGTTACCCGTCCATAGTATTCTGAACATAATTTACATAATTTCGTTGATAGGCTTTCAAGCAGCTTTCTTGTGTCGACTCGAAAACATGACAAAGACATTAGCTTACAGACAAGATAATAGGTAAGTTAGGTAAAGAAATGACTGTCATCTAGATAAACATGTAAGTTTATCTATATTTCAAAAAGATTAGTACTTTCTCTTTTGAGGACTGCATAGAAGTAATTAGTTACCATATTTTTAATGATACATTCACTAACAACTGTCGCTATATTTGATAAATTCTAGTCTGAATCTTAATTACTATAAACAAAAGAGGAAAATGGTAAAATTAGCACTTTATGAGTAATTTCTTAGCCCAGCATGATGTAAGTGGCAACAAACTATTGTCACTGAGATCCATCCACCTAAATTATGTCAGTAGATCAATAACTAACACTATTCATTCAACATTAAAAGGCCTCTGCAATATAATACAAAAGCGAATTATACACCCACCTCTATAACTGCAGAATTTAATCTTATTCTGTAAAAACGTTTAGCATTATCATTTTGGCGATATACTCAGCTGTATTTTGTAATGCATTATATGCTTCTAGGTTAGTTAATCTTCGATGAGCCCTGTGTAATATAAAGCAATGCAATTAAATGTCAATCGTTGGTTTTTTCTTGAGATTTTTTTCAAGATGAAACTAACCTCAGATAAAAAAAGGTAAATATATATCGCCAAACCAGTGGACTTGCTAAGTCAGCATTACAAAATTACCATACAAGTATCCATTTACCAGTGTCGAAAATTGTTCCATAGTTAGCAAACGTTCACTTGATGGCTTCAGAAGGATCGGTAGCACGACTTAATATAAATCATAATATAGGTGAGCCGGGAAGTTGCGGTTACGCATTGGGAACTCAACTGTCAAGCACACCAAATTATGTAGTCAAAGAGGATAAGATTGTTTCCTATGATTTCGTACTCTTTTACATGAATATTTCTCGAGTCGTGTTAGTAGTGTTCATCCGGTCGAACCTCCACGAAGTATTTTCTCAGCATTATAAGTCATCTAACTATTAAAGATTTTCAACCAAGTGCTTTGGATTAATACAGACACTAAACTTAATGTGTATTAGAAGTGTATTGAACAGAGAAGTAACGAAACGAATTATTTTTTAAACACTAAGATACTGCTAATGATGACTAAATTAGAAACCACTAAGCCTACAAAGTGTTGGTAATATTCAGGAATGATTACACCAAGTCATAAAACTTAAAATTCTAAGAAATCTTGAAATGCTCATTGTCTATTACGTTTGCATGCTATTGACCAACTAGTCTTTTCACTAATGATTCCTAGTATCGTTTTTTATACATCCTAAAATTTTCTTAAACCAAGGAATTCCTTTTATAACATTGGTCTTACTTGAGTGAACATTTCTGTAATTAAAAGGTAGCGGCAATACTCTCCATTTTAGAACCCTGACTAATCAATATGAACTAATCACATGAGTTATCAGAGTTCGATTTCATCAGTCAGTTAGAACTTACATTGATAAACAATTCGACGAAAATGCAACAAAACTCTATAATTCTAGTTCAACGTAATTAACAGCATTGAGATGATTACCACTGGTGAAGGAACATCAAAGGTCAATATACAGTACAATATCCTCGATTAACACTGAAAAAAAATTTTGGATTGCAAATGACCTATGGCTCTGTCCTACATAAGATTCAATGCTGAAGACCACAGTATTTTCAGAGAGAAAATTTTCTGTGAATAATCCTGTTCAAGAAACATCTTTAAAATGCACTAATGGATGACGTGGGTTCCAGCTTCCAAAAAAGCATGAATTTTGTAAACGTTTTACATAGATTTTGGGGGGGGAATTCATACAACAGTCAGAAGTCTATTTGAAATAGGACCCTTCCAAATATACTTGCTATAGCAACTAAATATGTAATCTACGCAACAATCTGAACTAAGAGACACAACTAAACACTACAAAATGGCAAAGGCACTGTTAAAAGCATTGACTATTTTAACAATAAACTTATATTTTTATTATAAAAGAAGTCAAATCAATAGATGCGAATAATAATATCAATCAAAATTATGCAGAGGAAAAAACACAAATTATTATCAACAGAGTTCATGAAAGCAAATCTATTCTATTGTAATATTGAAAATAGTAATAATAATGATAAAAAAATTATTTATTTATGAATCGTTCACATTTGTATCGGGTTCATCATTATCACCAGAAATCTAAAAAGTAAAAATTTCAAAAATATCCAAAGATATTACAAATATGTAAAGAGGTAACTCGTGTGTATAAGACGGGTTAATACAGATGAATTGATCCAGTGAATTAATAATCATGCAAGATACAGATGTATTAACGAAGTTATAGACTACATTAAACGTTTAAACTGGATAATGTGACTGAAGTCTAAACATATGGGATAGTATTTACCTTATTATCGATATATTGTCAATTGACTAATGTGGTAAATTTAGCACGTTGTATTTCACCTAAGTGATCGGACGATAAAGTACTGATTGTGAAACATACAAGCCCTGGGTTCAATCACTAATGGGGCTGTAAATGATCTAAACTGTTGAAGAGAGCCTCTGACTGCGACAAAATAACTGAATACTTTCTGGTTTCCTATTACTGTTCAGCTGATCAGTCAGTGATGAAAACCAGGATTGATAGAACATGACCAACATTTATAAACACAGAAGTGTCTAAACTTTGATTATCAGAAAATAGTGAGAGTATACAAAATGAACATTTTCGCACAAAGATAAAAATTAACAACTGTATTCCAAAACAAAGAAAACTTTCGCAACATTCAAAAAGTAAATGTAAGTCTTGTCAAAACACAAATGAATACTTTGGGAAACCAAAAATAAGGTATTAAAATTATTAAGTGTAAAAATCAAAGGTTTAAAACTGAGGAGAACCGCAGAACTATTAAGCAACCATACCGTATGATACAAATTACCTCCAGTTAACACAGTGAAATAATACCTAATCTGATATCTATATAAGATTGATTCCAGTTAGTAGTTGCACTACTTATGATTCCCAATATAATTTTTATATTTTAATCTTACTAACTTTGATAGAATGCTCTTTTTAGGATATCAACTCCTAGTATCTAAATAAATACTAGCTGCCTAATAAGAGCCATTTATTGGAGAACTAATTATTGTTAGAATCCTGTAAAATACTTTTTGTACTTCATAACCACCTGACTGCAAATACCAATAAATATTTGTCGATAAGCTACATATTGAAAGACGACCTTCTTCAGATTGAGATCAATCAAAAAAATTCTAAACTAATTTCTGGGGAGAAAGCAATATAAAAGGGAGAAAAGCAGGAGGAGTATCAATCTCAAAATGCATAAAAATTATTAATAAAGTGCAAATTGGGATTTCACATCAACGAGACTGACAAAAGTAGGTATGATTTATTATCACATAAAAGAGCATATTTTTAGATATTTGCACTAAAGCACAGAAATATGAATGGAGAATATATTTTCAATAAATTATCTTATGGTTTTACAACTTCATATCCAAATTAATAGTCCAAAAACGTGTCCAGGTTTAAGGCAAAGTACATCATTTAAAATGTAAGGGTGAATTTTTTTACTTAACATGGTTGAACTACAACTCCATATTGCAACAAACATACACCACAATGAAATGACAAAAACTCCGGATTGAAAATAAATATGTAAGGAGACAAAAACATGTGTGCCAAACGAAGCGGAAAACAATTATGAATAAATGTACTGAAACCTTAAGATATTCATTAATACGATCAAATTACTTGGAAAATAAGAACTCTAAGTGTAATGAAATTAAAATAAAACAAATGAGTCATACATTTATTTTAAAATGACAGAGATAATAGTAATTAGAGAGAACCATTTTTCGGTTTAATATTCAGAGAATTTTAATATTTTGTCACTGATTAACGAGTGCATTGCAGTACACAGATTTTATCCCATCTATCATCTACCACAAAGTTATATTCGAAGAAACCTTAGTCATCGAAATCACATGACTCCAACTTCCCGAGTTAAATTCAAATTTCTTCAGGAACGGACAGTGGACTTATACCTATTACCTTGTGAAATAGAGCATAGGTTGCCGATCAGGATTCTTTAATCAACCCTGTGCTGGGCAATTCTTTCCAGTTGTTATTGATTTTTTTCAGACGGTAAACAATGACAGGTTAAGGGTCAACAATAACCAATCAAGATGAAGGTCTACAGGACAAGCTGTGAGCCATATGTAAAGGAATGCGGACACTTCACTTCTACCTGAAGTTTATGCTTATGATGTCGTTCAGAATAACGATGAAATCTTCATGACTAAACCATCCAACTCAGGGAACAAAACTCTATCAAAATTTTTATTCTTTTGATGTCTACATCCAATGCGTTTGTGAGTCTTCGTCTTAATAACTAAAATTTCTAGAAGCATAGATTTCCTCTTTTACTATACTATGCTTCCCAACAATTTGAAGCTATCCGTTCAAAATTGAGCATATTAATTATACATAAGTATATTCAGAAATTTTTAGTTGAGATATGTCCTCAAAGTATCGGTATAGAGTAAAATTGACGTCTAACTGGATCTCGAGAGTAGAAAACTTAGGGAGATTAATACGATTATACGTCTGGATGAGGGTGGATCAGTATTTTTATTCTCCACCAGATTCTGATAAACAGGCAGTGATGCTAACACCAGCAAGTTCTTTACTCGTACGGGGAGAACATACGTTACTAGAAATTTTATGTAAAATAAAGTAGTCCGGCAAGGATTTCATAAGAATTTCCATCCGAGTTGATGATAAGTGGAGTTCACAAATGATGTCTGTTTTCATCACTTGACAGGGATAATTTCACACATAAACTGAGTTTTAAATATTCTTTTATCATAGTTATTCAACTCGAAATAGCCGTACGGACATAAGTACAAAAATGTGAACCATAAATTTGAGATGGATAACAACGCATAGCCAATAAGAATTCAATAGATTCAATGTAAATTGATTGCATGACTTAATAATTTAGATTCGAATACACATAACCAAGCTATAGCTTCATCGCACTGACAAATTCTCAACCCTTCAGTTTTACTTATGCGATTTAGTGAAGGTATAAACAGGTCTTAGAATGTGAGTTCATAAACATCTCCACTTACGAGAGAAAATGTTGGCTTATCAGTGATCGGTTCGAGTTCGATTTCTGTAACTGGTTCTTGTACATCTAAACGTTCTTTCATGTGTTCAAGGAGCGTCACTAGTCTTTTCAAATCCATCCAGTTTATTCCTTTTGACTAAAGAACAAAGTAGAGACAAAACCCAGTTTAATATCCAACCAAGAGGGAAAAGTGAACCGGTTAAAACTTTCTTTCTAAACTTAATCGGTTCAGATCACACACGAAAAAACTATTTTCTCTGCTGATAATGAATTAAACTAAAAGAACTTAACGCGACTTATGTTCATTCTTGAAATCTAGAGATTTCGACCAACCATCAATTACTATGATATAATCGTTCACAGTCAAGATACATTTTCTTTTCCCTGAGAAATAAATTTTGTTAACTAACAAGCGTTGATAAAGCACAAACCCTTCCCATTTACGCTGAGCATAGTTGTTACTCACAGTGTTAATCACAAATATTGGAAATTGTAGCTTAATCAAGTCAGAATTCTTGTCCTTTCGAGGTGACTGACTCCTGAGTTTGTTTTTTGACACAATACGTTACTTTTGTACTAATTATCAGATAAATTCTGTAATTCTATGTTGTTCCTAACCGATGACTAGCCGTTAATAAGGTTATTTTGTTTCACCTAATTAATTTTTTTTTCAAAATTATTAGGAAAATTGCATGGACCTAAAATTTTTAACTGAGGAAGTCTAGTGAAGCTGTAGTGTGCTAGAGGAAATTAGGATCAGTCAGTCAGCTACAACGTAGGACCAGGCACATATATGCATCGGTCCAAGTTGCCATACCTCATTAACACAACAAGATGAACACCGGATTCATAAAAGTAGTTAATTCAGGGATGGTAATATATAAAAGAAAGATTGCATATAAGGACAGGAAATTAGAATAACACTATACTAGTACTTCAGGAAATTATTTTTATACTAAAACCCTAGAAGAATTATTTTATGCTAATCTTGATGTCATTCATTCGCTTTGCTCAGAAAACTATCCTATCAAATCCCACTCGTACTCTAGAAACATAAATCATTATAAAGCTGTTAACAGAATCCTACTGGTAGTTGACAGGAGCAATCAAACAAACATTCAGTGGAAATATTTGCTCTAAGTAGAATAGTCGTGGCTTGGTTTAAGTTGATCAACATTTTATAGTTGGTTTCGCGGATGAATATCAATTCATCACCAAATAGCTTTAATTTTTTAAGCTCAAGGAACTTAATGTGACCATTAATTAACATGATTAGCTAGTGTTCATTGTCACTAACGTGTACAATTAATCAACATAAAAGCCTTATCTACCTGGGTGCTAGTACTCAGTAAGCTATACTTGAAGTCCTAATAAACTTGATCATACTGATTGCACTTATACACTAACATAATACTAAGAATACGGACGTTACCAGTAAGCTAAGTGAAATCCAAATAAAATGAGATCATTTAGTTCAATCCAATTTAGTGAAATGCACTAAAATTATGTTCGCCCAATAACATTGTATTTTAATTATTTTTTAGGAAGCATTAGTAGATAACTAGTTTTTTGTACTACTTTTAATCTCAAGTAACTCATATTTTCATCATACCAGTAATCAGATTACCTTTGGGGCTAAAAGTCGCATTTTAAAGATATTAAAGCATGGGAATAAAACGGGAAATATTTGCCAAAAAAACTAACCTCTTTAATTTGATCCTCAAGTTTTCGAACATTCTCGAGAATAACAGTAATACAACGTGCAACTATAGGAAGGCTTACAGCCTTAGCAGTAGAGTAAGCTAATTCATACAAAGCAATAGCTTGTGAAAGAGTATTTCTAATGGTAGCCTTTGAAACTGTTTGATTTAGGTTACTCCCGTAAGTCGCAAGCGTAGACAGAAGTGAATTAGCACGATCAACTGTTGAATGAATTAATGTAACAGCATGAATTGATGCTCTATGTTGTAGACGCACGAGTCGTTCTGTTGGTGTAGCATCACCTCCTATAGAGAACTTTGGATCCTATGAGACAAAAAAACTGACAGTAGTAATTTAAATAAGTAATCTTTAAAATAATGCAAAATGTTTCAAGATAACTCAACTTTTGTTTCAAAATGCAAATACTTACATCATCTTTCGGAAGATACAGATTAGCACAAGCCTCGGCAATATTCAGGGCACGGCTTGCAGTGGGTAGAATTATACATTCATTTGAAGTGTTCTTAATCTGTGCGCACGCTGCTTCAGCACGATCCAGAACATGTTGACAAGCCATATCATCGATCTTTTGGACAATTCCTGTAGAACACAAAAACGTTTTCGCTCAAACTATGTATGCGAAGATACCACATTTTCAAGAATACCCGATACACTCTGAATAACCTCAAATATAGTTGACATTTCGAGTTTTTCTAATCGGAACGTATAGATATACTCAGAAATCTCATTAAGCGGTAAGCCTCAACCATCCGGTGTTAAAACATTTTGCTATCACTCACAAATAAGTGTAACATACGTGCATTTTACGATAAAGAAGATAAATGACCACTGTAGAGCAAAGAATTACACACAAAAGTTCTCCCTAAACAAACCCATCACATCCAGCTTTAATAACGATCCTCTTAAGCAAATATCACGAAGCAGCACCAACTGGCCCAAATTTGTCTAACTTAAGTAAATACATATGATATGTTTTCAGTTGACTGAATCCTCATATAGTGAATGTTGTGCTTTATAAAACTAGTGTACTTTACACCTTAGTTATAAACTGTTCTACGTGGTTTATTAGCTACCTAGAAATTCTTACAATGGTGAGAACTTCTAGCCCCAAAACTTTCATTGATCTAATTTATAAGGCTAGTATATGAAAAAAATTTGATTGAGATAATTGGAAGTTCATAAACCTTACTGTCACAACTAAACACTGACCGAGATCATTACAGACATCATTACTTCAGGTAGTACCAAGATTCATACCTTACACCAGAAGTATATCCTAAAAAACCTCTTTTCAGAAAACACTATTCAGGGCCTATAGGCAAAACACAACGCGTATATTATCATCGAGTGAAATAATTTTTAACTCTGAACCGTCTATTACATGTTATATAGTAAGGGATTTAAAGCAAAGTATGAACCGGTCTGCTTTTATATGTAATCTACTATAAATACAACCTTACCGCTTTCAACAATTGGTTTGATCACAGATATAGCTTTATCTTCAGCTGTTTGTATAATTGGGCCAACAGACTCTTTTTTCTTGACCCAGTTGTAAACATCTAGTGCGGTCTTGTAAGTATCACCAACTACAGAATAACCACACAAACGCGTTGCAAACGTAGTCATTACAGCGGAAATTCAAACGTGAGTCAGAACCCAAGGTAAGCAATAGATATATATTCACCCTATTGTTCAATATGCAATGCTCCTATTTTTAAGCTAAATAAAATAAAGAGTGGTTTTCCATTGTTATTCTCTGAGTAAAGAACAGCTGAATGTAAAATGCTATTTAGCAGCATACAATGTTATGAAAACTGTTTCTTTCCTATAGAAAGCCAAACAACCAATGAAGGGGAAATAAAGGAAAACAAGAGAGAAATAAAGGGAACATTACGTTAGAAAATAAACAAAAAACAATGAGAAAATGCGCCCAAATGTCTGCTTCTCCGCCCGTCATGCGAAAATAATGCTCAATTTTCTTTTTTTCTGTTATGAGTGTTACTGAATCGTCTAGTTTTCTCCTACGTGAAGTGTTACTTACAGTTTTATTCGTTATTGCTAAACAATGCGCAAATAAAACAGATATCGACGGTTGTGAATTTAAACTAGTGCATACATGTTCCTGTTTTCTCCGATAACGACTTTGAATTTTGCCTCTCATGTCGTCAAACTACCTTTGCATCATGAACCAGAGCAAGTTGTTTTTCCTTGACGAATTAAGATACGAATCGAGAAGTTGTAGAACCATAGTCTACTATGATATTAGTACTGCTCTAATAATAGACCTAATCCCAAAATTGTAGATTTGTCGTGATATAACTGCCTAATCTATAAGATCTTACGTGGAAGTCGCACCATCGACTACACCAACTCACTATATCGTATCAATTACCAATACATGATGTAGAACAATGTTAGGCTAGAGAGGGAACAATATATTTAACATGAATAGAAGATATAAGGTAACATTCAGAAGGACCACGCTTGCATGGCCGAGCCACGCCATCCGATCAACCCTAATTCATTCAATTCCTTGTTCGCGCCTTCCCTATCGTTAGGTATTTCCCCACGTTAAATATTGAATATCTATTTTCTGAGTAGTCTCGTGTTCAGCTTTGTGGATTGTGTGGTTATTGTTCAATGCCACTACAAAGTCAACGCACGTCAAGGTTTGCAAGAACGGTTCTTACTTCATATGGAGCCGTAAAGCCTGCACTTCTGAATTGCTCTTTTCGATGAATAGCCACGTATTGTGAGATCGCTGGAAACTTCAGATGTCACAGCGTGTGACAATATATAGCTCATGTACGTATTAGCACTATCTTCCATTAACCGCCTCAACATGACCATCTGGAATAAGAACAAATAATCCAGTTTATTTGTTGACTTGCAAATGAGCACCTTACGTCTTCTTGCTGAAGACATGAATCCGACGTTATAAGTTCCTCTCCAGATGACAAAGGGAATTACAAACTTGATACTCCGATGTCAAATTTCTGTGGATGTTCATGTCCATAAAATTTCGACATAAGCTCCATAATATTTGCACTCAAGTTAGAAATAACTGACGATATGTTATGAATTACAGCATATGGCTTGTCAGATCCTAAGCATCCAGTTGTACAAGTGAAATTAATTTCTTTGTAGCAGTAAATGAAACCCCGGAATAAATAGTTCCATCAGTCCTTACTAGTTTTTCTGGACATAAAACACGTTGAAACGCTCTCGCTCAAGCATATAATACTGAATGAAGTAATACTAATTTTTCATAAGATGAATCGAGCAGACTAACTGATGTTGCATCAGATTAAGACAAAAACTGACTACAAAATTACATCTAGCATCAGTATTCTTCTTTTAGAAATCACACATGATTTAAGTTATTCACATAGGCTTTCGAACAACGAACTTTTGTGTCCATTACCAAAAGACCAAACATGTTACTAGGGGTTGTGAACAAAATAACACAAAAGTGGCTTCGATACAACTGTATGAGTCGCCATTTAGAATCTGAAAGAAAATACACAGAGGTCGCTTGAGAGATTACAAAGAAGTGATTGAGACTGCCTAGATATCAGTGAGTTTCAAGAATGTACACTTGCGGGGTAAATTGTGAGGATACGCTGAATGTGACACAACCGGTCCGTACTAATTTGAAACTACCCGAAGACGACTGCAGCGGAAACGATTTACGAAGGTGATATTTTTGAGGAAAACTTCCTTTGAATCTGTAGTGAAGTGGAACAATAAATAGAAGGACTGAGTACATGTTGCAGATAGAACATCTCACATTAAGTTGTGCTTTGATCAGGCATGGGCTGAGTACCTTCATCTATTAGCCATCACAAAACAGACAAGTCAGCATCAGCGTTGAATTTCTACTTAGAAATTATTTTGAAGTTCTTTACGTCTACGAGTCACGGCACTTTAACGATATCAAGTGGACCCCTGAACTTCTCTGAGATGTTTAAACGTGGGAGGTTTGGCACTGATTGATAGTATTCGGTTAGCCTGAGACTGGTATAAGTGTACGGGTATCTGTATTTGTACATTGGGGTCGCTTGATAATCAATAAACGTACAACGGTGGTCGTTAATCTTCGTGTCATTTTTAAAGTAGGTATGAAATAAGTAACTAAAGTACATTATAAAAAAAATACTTCCACAAGCCCTGCCAGATTTACAAAAATATCAGAGCAAAAACATTTAGCATTGATTAGCGACGAAATTTTCAGTTTGCTTAGGTATGTGTATCGTCTTGCTTTTTACGCGAAATATATGCATACGTCAAAGTGGGTTCGCTTGAGACATGGCATGCTGCTCAAATTCATGCCTTTAAACCTTTTGAGATCCATTGTAAGTTGCACCAAAAGGTTTAGGTTAATAAATTACTCGCTGAAAAATTCCAATTATATTAAAACATAATTTTGTGAACGCAGAATATTCTTTTCAATCTGATGAGAACCTAATGAGAAATTATCGAAAAGAATATTCTCCGCTCATAAAATTGTGTTTTGATAAATTACTTCCTACATAAATGTGTGTAATACACAGTTGGTTGACTTGGACAAAGATTTTAGTTAAATGGGATTGGACGAACATGGACTTGAGTAAAACCGTGATGCTTATGAGCCGGCATACGTCGGAGGTTTTCTTAATATCAAGTGAGAAAAATAGTGGGGCGATAAGTCACCTGAAAGTAGGAAAGTTGCACTATGAATGACTTCAGCAACAACAGTTTCTCATTCGGTTTTATTGCAACTCGAATCCCTGAAAAGGTGAACTACGGCTTGCCCATGGACCACGATGTGTTCATGCCTTTACCAAGATCAGTATTTATCAATGGAATCGCTTCAACGCATCAGAGGCTTTTGATGGAAGACTGTACAACTTCACCGACATAATGTTTCTGAACCCTTCTTTCAGCTATTTGTAAAATGCTTATTTATCCAAGCTTACAAACTAACAATTTTTATTATGAGCGTCTTCATAGTGATGACTTCGTTGGTAAGGCGTTCCCATGTTTGGATAACATGAGAATATATTCAAAAAAACAAGCTGAGTTATGACATCTGATTTGAAGATTATCTACGTGAGATGAGGATTTGGTTGTAATTCATTCAAATGTTGATCTTCAAAATACATCTTTGCGCCTCAAGTAAGTCAACAAGACACGGGCTTAAAGTATTATGTAACAGTTCGCAACTACCAACCTTTTGCGTTGAATATAATAACCCCTGAGTTAGCAACCCCCATTTGTTTCAAGGGTCATATGCAACCAGGCTCTCCATGGGCTGCTTAAAGAAAACGTGTTGTCTCTTGGAATTTCTTGTTTTCCGGGGGAAAGTCATGTTGTCTTCGAAAACATAAATAAGTTTAAATTTGTCACATCTAACATCGATGTTTTCTCTCAACGTTTTGTACTTTGGTTTTCGAAATTCCGGATACTTGCTAAATGTTGATGAGATGTAAATGTCAACTGCATGTGTGACTAAAACTAAACATGACATTGCTCTACTAACGGGTTGTTTTGTGATTCCGTTTACTAACCTCTGTTTACTTAGGTTGGTAAGTGCGTTAGATTGTTCAGGAAGTCTATAAAATGAGAAGAATTAAATCATCTGTAAAAACCCAAAATGAAGCGCAGTAGTGAGACTGGATTCCAAATAATTTATCAACGGTAAATCGCTTCCACGTGCACGGGAAACACCGAATTATGGGCAACGGTAAGCTATAACTTAAAGACAACTGCACGTTGCAACCCCTAAAGGTTTCCGAGCGTTATGATCAGTTTTTTGATCGTTCAGATGTACTGAAGAGTTATGAATTTTGTATACCACCTGTATTGGACTACATCTAGAGTACTGTATCCAAGCAGCTAGCACATTTATGAATAAAGGTGCTGATACACGTGAGAGTGTTCAGCCTGTAAAAACAAACTTGGTGACTGATATCTGCGAACTGTTTAACGAGTAATGCTAAAAACACCCTAATCTTTTCCTCTTATCACAACATAGAGCGCGGGATGATCTTGTATTTCGGCATTCCGTATCTCTAATACTGGTTTGAGTGTTATTGTATCATACGCTTTTGCACTCTTTAGAACGAATCATCTACGAGGTCACAGCATGTATGTTCAGAAACCGTGAACTGATACATTCAGAGTGGAGTTCCGTTTGTCTCGTCGAGTGGCCAATAATTGAACCGAATTACCCGACCAGGTGATGTCTGCCTTATCATTGAATCTTGTCGGGGTGAGGCTGGATCGTCACTTAGAAAAAAGCTGTAGGATTGACACAGATTCACGCAACTACTATTGTCGCTGAAGACTGGCTTACTTATGTTCAATGTACAAAGTTGCGATGCTCAGCAAACTGTCACCAAGCATATAGTGGCTAATTTAGAAAAAGTTGTAGCGAGTAATTCACATTGTAAAATGCTTTGAAGGAACAGGTTAAAGATATGAGCAGTCTTAAATTATCTTTACGTCAGTATGAAAATCGTTTTTTATGGAACAGCGAATGATGTGAACGTGATACAGTTATCACTGATCAACAGATTTAGCATGAAATGTAAAGTTTTTATGAGAATGATGAGGGTTTTCTCGCGGAATGACATAAACTTTGATGTAAGGATAAATTCACGCCGAAATCGGGTTTATTTGTCCATATTCACTACTTCTACCAGTCTACAGTAATAAGGATAGTAGGTTGGTGAACCTATGTTAATTCTGACAGACTGCCTTCCAGCGAAGTCGAGCTTCTCCTTGAAAATATTCACTGATAATGCTGATACCGTCTGTTCGGGTAAGGCGTCACAGTCACTGACTACTCGATGAGAAAAACGGGACCCCACTTTAAGTTTAATAAATCGCGGTATATTCCTCCAATGGTCACTAAACCGTGTCTAGACCTAATTGCACAACACGCTACCTCACATGTACCAATAACACTCCCGATATAACTGATTGTATACGAAAGTGATCCCTTACATATAACATTATGTCTCCTCCCTTGCAACCTAAAACTCTATCACTTCTGATACATATATAGCCTGCAATGATGGGATAAGTCTATACAGTAACAACACTTACGACGCTGACGGATTCTTCGCTATCAGTACCCATGTTACCAGTGCAGCCCTCATCAACCTTTCTGTTAGCCAGCCCCGGAAGGCTTGTTGCCTCTTGGATGAGTATTGTTTTGCTCGAACAAAAAACATACAGAGTCAATGAGAGTTTGGTTTTGAACACCTTTTATTGGCAGTGGGATTTAAGCAGGAATAATGCCATGGTCCATTTAAAATACCGAACGTATAATATTTTTAACGTCCTAAAGACATAAGATGTTGTATTTTGAATCAGGTACACTTACTGATGGGACACTGGACAGAAAAATAATTGAATCTACAGTTTCTTATTGTCAGTCGTTTGGTTACGCTAATACTAAGGGCCGTTGGTAATGTCTTGGCGGTCGTTTGGTGTTCTGACCGATGGATCAGCTGTATCGAATTGATGAACTTCCCAATGTAGATGATGTTTTCAAGCATAGTTATGAAGTTTACCGGAATTACTCGCTCGATGTTTTGAAGTACAAAGAATTTTGTCAGTATGGACTTGCAGAAAGCATCGAAAAAGTCCATGAATGGTGTGTTCATCTCCAATGCTTGAGTCCCTCTGATCCATGCTCCCCGATGAGTGGTGCGGAATACGAAAAGAGGTATAGGCTTTTTGTGTTGATCAGTTGAGAACTTTTTATATTTTGATGGCGTCTTAAGGTCCTAACCTCCCTATTTTTGGGGAAACGTCCGTTTTGGGCAAATTTTGGAGAAGCTGTAATAGAAAACTTTAGGGAGAGGGCACGAAAACCCTCAAAGTTTTCCCATATCAGTGGAAAATTCTCGAAGTTTCGGGGAAATCCTGAAAATGTTTGGGGGAGTTTTGGGTTTATGAAACGTTACGAAATTCATGAACGGTTTTAGTTATTGCTACTTATTGTGTGCTTGACTAATGAGTTCAATGACTTATCACATTCTAAATTGCACTAGTTTGCAAAATAATATTGAGTCAATCTGGATAAAATCTTTCACTAATGTTTCTCCATCGTTCAATTCATTGTTTCTACCACTGTAGTTATGACAATCAGTTTGTCTGTCACATAGGTACCAATACGTTTGTCATTTATACTACGGATTTAGGATGAGTTCATTAGCTTTTTAATGTAGCATAAAAAAACGTACCTAAATTTATGCGTAACTTTATCAAGCTGATCGATTAGTTAACAAATGTGATCCAGCATATATAGTAGCGATTGGTATTACACTATTTAAGGCGAAGTGTTCTCCTAATTTATTGTTATTTTAGAAAACTTAACACTTAAATTCATACCAGTTGACTTCTCAACATTCATCAGTGGCGGTTGCATTAGTAATATAAAACAGCAAAAGAACTACGATATAGCCAAAAATCAATTATCCAAGTAATGACACCACTATTATTGTATGGTAACAGTATAATCACATAATGATTCTCCTTATCACACCTTAGATTATCAAGATGCCAAGTCAACATGGGATGTACATCACTATAAATGCTGTAGCTTGAAATAATCAGATACCCAGACACAGTGTAAAGTACACACTAATTTTATACACATAGTCCCTTGTATCATCTTGAAGAGAACAAGAACAAAAATTCTAGCGGAATGGAATGAATTCATATTATCTTATATGATTCTCGTTAGCTGCATACAACCTGTGGTATTTAAAATCATAATTACAAAACGGATTTTAATTAATTGCATGAAGGAGTTTAGTTGGAAGTTATTTTGAAGATACATCAGTATAGTATAGCGAAGTTGTAAATAAGTTTGATAGACTGGATAAAATATTATAAATATTTAATTTATGTAAAAAAGCATCCCATAGCATTGATTGCAGCAACAGCTAAAAGGTCTATGTTTGTTAATGTAAGATTGTAAACACGATCATTTTCCATTAACAATTAAGTCCTAGACATTCAATCAGCATTCGTTTCTATTCTAATAATTAGCGTTTCCTTACATATCTTAACTGACGAAGTGACCATCATGTTCCCAATGAAAATGTCTCTTTATCCTATTTCCTCTTGTTTATACTTTATTGCTGAACAGACATATGGGATTAATTACTCCAGCCACTTCATCATACCTTAACGTTAGTCCACCAGTAGAAGAATCTTTGCCAAATTCATCAATATCGGTTTTTAACTATATGCAACATATTGGGAATAATGTAACTGGATGTTATGATGACTATATATGTGATAAGCAATATAATAGTTATCCAAATCATTGTATTTTGGGTGTCGTCTGTTTTACTTTGTGCTTATGTGGAATTATAAGCAATATAGTTCTTTTCCCAGCTTATAACTTTGGATTGAATCGTTCTGGAGCTACTGTTTATTTGAGTGCGATGGCAATATTTGATTGTGTTTTTATGGGGTTATCATTACTAATTAATGTTATTCACTATCTGCCACCATCATTTATTGAACAAATGGAAATGTATGGACAGTTTTCTGGTTACTTGATTCCATATGGCCTGCCTGTCATACAGATATGTGAACTGTTAGTTGTAAGTTATAATGAACTTATTAAACTGATTTTAATTAGAAATATAGCTCATTATCTAAGTAAAGGCACGTTTGCTAGGATTTAAACTACTCCCGTTAAATGACAGTCTGAAGACACTATTCATCTGCTCATCTTAGATACCTAGTATTCTAAGTATCAAATTCCAGTTTTAAACATCTAGCGCTTAATGGTTAATGAAAAACCAACTAATTATAATAGGTCTATTGGACATCTTCTTATAACCTACAGCGTTCAAATATCACATCACAATAAATTCCACACTTTTTTCACTGATAGAATAGTTGCTGAATAAAGGTAACACCTACTAACGCTACACTGTAACCAGTTATGGTGTACTGATATGCTATAAATAGGTGTTTCGTGTAACGAAAATATATAAGAACAACAAGAATGATATGAAAGTGGGAATACGAAAGTATGCAAGTGCGTGATAGGTGATAACTAAAAATACAGATAACGGTAGCTTCTGTATTGATAAATGCCCGAAAGTTCATCCTTTTGATCTTTGAACATGATGAAGACCAAAAATGATTAATTTCAGAGTGGTCTCAATTGTAGGAAGCAATTACATACAGTTGAATTTCTGAAATAGTTGCTTTGATAATCATCTTACGCTTTCAGGAAGCTCAGTAACAACAAACCTGTAAAAAGCAGGCTAGATAGATGTGTAGATCAAATGCTCGCTTCGAGATAAGTTTCGGAACGGATGTTTATGGACTTCCAACTGTAGTCATACTTCTTAACTTACAAGTTGCATTTGATTTGACAACTTTTATAGCAGTATCTGTCATTGTAAAGCGTCCCTAAAAAAGTAGGCGAAGCTACTGAGGGCTCTCTGGTTAGACGCTACTTAAGAAATTTGAGGTTGTGGTGGGCTGTCATCTATCGTAACCAATGGTTGAAGACTGGGCGACATGGCTCAGAATCACTCACAATGGGGTAGGTGTGTACACTCTTTGTCTTCCCTTAAACCGTGAGAATAAAATAACTGAAAAATTCCCATTATTTATTAAAATTACTTTGTACTTTTTCTCTACGAACTAACTCTTCCTTTCTGTACTACATCCTTATATGCAATCTTTCTTTTACATATTACTACCATTAAAGTAACTACTATGAATTCGTTCACCTTGTTGTGCTAATGAAGTGTGGCAACTTGGACCGATACATATATGTGCCTGGTCCTAATTTGTGGCTGAGTGACTGAGCTGTCATCTTAATTGGCAACGTCAATTGCTGTTCATCAAAGCTACCCATTTTGTCGGTCTTTTCATAAAAATGCTTTTAAAGATAACATTATTCATCTGACTTTGGAGCTTAATTCTCTATCAGAATATTCACTTAGCTAAGAAAAATTAATGAATGTATAAAACAATAAACTCATTTCAAGATTATCTTGTTTAATTGTATTTAGTTGCTTTTTTATTATTAGTACTGATAATAGCCATTAAATTGAAAATAGTTTACACCAATAATTGAAGCAAAATAACTTTAAATTATACATCATTTAATTTTCGTTTCTTTCTAGCTGAACTATGAAATATAAATAATAATAAGCAAAGAATATGTAAATAACTAACAATAGATATATTCATCACGATAGATGTTGTCACAGTAAGAAGTCCTCAGTAACGCTTGTGCATTATTGCAATGAATTTCTTTAAAACATGTATTTGGATTTACATTTATTCAAAAATTAGATCTCAAACAACGTCACTTTTGTAAAATATAAATTGTAATAGACACCTAACCAAGTCAAAAGTAGTAATAAATACTTCGCTTTATGATGATTTAGTTCAGTTCCAACTACTCTCGTAAGATATAAATTAGTTATCTTGGTTGTATTTCGACATATCCACTACAAAGCCTTAGTCTAGGGCATGAACTGTTAAAGAGTTCTCAATTTAGACGAGAAATCTGATCATTTTAGACATCCTCCAATAGCTATAAAGTCTAAGTCACATAGTACCGATTGACTGGCATTCTCAGTAATTCTTCCCACTTTTTTAAAATTTTCATTTTAGGTTTGGTTAACCATAGCATTACTAATCAATCGTCTACTTTATTTGAATTTGGGCCCACATTCCAAATCATTGTGTTCACAACTTGAATCCGTGAAAATCGTAATAGCGGTGTTTTTCCTATGTATTGCTTATATGGGATGCAAATTTTTTGAATATACTTATGTGGAATATCCAGATAAAAAGGTTGTACGTGTTTTGCTCACTCAACTTGGCAAAACGGAGATGTTTCGGTAAATCAAATCGAATATTCACTTCATTTGATAGCTCTAAAGAATTTTTTTCAAAACTAAAGTTTACAGCGCTTCTTACATTAAGTAATTTTTTGATTAGATTATATTTTTAATATTATAAGTCTCTTGTCATATTGTGACGCGTTGTATCTTCTAAATGAATATATTTCGCAACTCTTTGTGGAAATATTTTGTAGTGAATACACATGATTAACGCCCCTAAATCCTCTGGTACGACCAAGGGTTGGGAGAGTTAGCTCTCCCTCTCGAAATACTCTCACATGGCCACGCATATACAGTCACCGCCAGGGAAGTCCTGCTCACTGCCTTCACGCGATGGGGGTGTTGTTCACGAAATTGAGAAGATGAAAAGCGAATGTTCGGCGCTTTAAATGGGTTAGTGGATCTGGAAGGTCCACCTTGTAGAGTGAGGAAACCCTGATTCCAAACTGACGGATACCCGGGCAGTATCACAGCGCACACACAAATCAAGTGACTTGTGAGGCACATATGTATTCAGTGCCCCTTTTTACCGATATTTATGTGTTCAAATAAATGTGTAAATAACGCCTCATATTTATTGTCAGTGGCAATTGCTTATAATCTTTTTTCTTCACAGTTTGCACAACGAATGATTCAAGCAAATTGAAGTGTGTATACATCGCTAAAATGTATTTTGGACCATTACTAAGGGAATTCATTAAAGCAGTTAATACTAATACCTTGTATTATCTCAATTTTATTATCCATAAGGAGACTAAAAACATCGAAATTTAAAAATGGGCGTTTCAATATCTTTTTATCATGTGTGACTTATGTTAGAACATTGTCTTCAAAATGCTTTTAAATATTTTGTGTACTATCAAAAAACTTAGTATTTATAACTGAGAAATTGATACATTTCAAGAAAATTTCGTTTTTCACACAAACTGAAAAGGAATGCATAATCTATCACACTAAATTAGATTGTTGCAACTTTAAAAAAGAAATATGTTGAAATGATGACTAATTGAAGATTCATAGCAAAAGTAAGACTAGATGTATTTAAAACAAGTCAATATATGTTGTATTTCGATGTTGACTTTCATAAAATGATTTTTTTATAGAGACCTGGGGTGTTGACTTCAAGAAAAACTGTTTAACAGACATTAGGATCTGTTATTATCGACGAGCAGTACATGTATAAAACTTGATCTCTTAGTTAGTTAAAGGCTGCTCTGTTGTTATTGTGACCTCCAGTTAATTATGAACAGAGTAGCAAAATAAAGTAGAAAAGTCATTTAGATTGATCATGATAAAACAATGTATCGAAGAATATACCCGTGTTATTATTACACAGTTAACGTCTTACTACAATAGTACATCAAGAAATGTGCGAAACAAAGTGAGACGATAATATTGTAGAAAATTAGAAGATAGAAATAGTAATTTTAATAGATTTGGAATTAAAGGGTTTATAAAAACGTAATTAAAATAGATTCCTTTTGGTCAAGAAACGCCACTACACTGTTTATAAACAGCACAACAGAAAGCAATGGTAAGATTAACGTCATCTTCTGTTATGAGGTATGTCCTAACTTCTGAAGTTACCTGGTTGGATGATTTTTGTGGATTATTTAGGATATTGAAGATTCCCATTGTGAAAATTAGAACAACACATATAAGCGCTTATATGTGTTATTCTAATTATTTAGGAAACCAGGACTGTTTCTTATCCTAGTGTCTTATCATAAATTAGCTTTCTGCTTTTTCCATCCATCCGGGGTTTTACATACTCGTCATTAAGTGGTGAGTGAAAATGATTGATTATTGGATTTCGTTAGCTGAGCACTTCAGTTCAGCCATTAAACAAACTGATACCACACTGATGTTCAGTAGGTCCGTTGTTCAGTTTTCGTAGGTTGAATATTTCCTAGCACTCAATTTTAGTAAGTGTATATCCTCGAAGAAAATCACGGTCTTTATATTTCCAAATTCACATCGTCAGTATTTTTGTACTGGATTTGTACCCCAACTTATAACGGATACTAGTTAAATAAGCTCATAATTAACAAGCCACACACAAATAGTATAAACAATTAAATTTCTGTTTAGTGATCAAATCTTTTTTAATGTTTTAAAAAAGGGATATAATGGATAATTGGTTAAAAGTTCCGCTTGAAATGTTTTTACCGTATTTGGCTTGTGGATTGTTAATAACAACTATCGTTTTAAAAATGGTAAATTTACATACATCAAAGTGGAAGGCCGTAGCTAGCTTGTGCAATGAAACTGCTTGTGCGTGTGTCTGTCGAACAGGTGTCTGTGGTAAAGAATGTCGTGAAGGTGTAAAATCGGAGGATCTATCTAAATCCTGGTCATCTGACTTTAATAATCAAGAAAAATCTGGAAAAGTAACAAATACAAAACAGTCTACTCCTGACAAGAATGATACCTTTCAAAAATCATTTACCAGTACCAACCGTAATAACGGTAATTTCACAAACTTGGATCCAATTGAACAGGAGTTATCCTATCTTTTCTTCCAATTGCCTCAATTAGACGAGACACGTGAAAATGCTAATGTTATAACAGCAGTTTGTATTGGACTAATTTTGTTGATTTGTAAAATCCCAAAATTTTTACTACACGTAATTTCAACTGAGAATTACATCACTTATGATCCAGAAGTATTTAGAATGATAAACCAATTATTGGATACAATGTTTGCAGCTTGTAAACCAATGATCTGTATACTAGTTGGAGCACATTACAGACAAGCTTTGACAACACCTCCAACATGTTGTCTACCTAACGATATTAACACCAATACAACTACTGTTACTAACATTAGAGGTAATGCAGTGATAATTGAAGACAATAATCATGAAGCAATAGTGAATAAGGAGGCAGTAAACTACCAGTCAGTTATTACACACCAGCCAAAATGAGATCAGTTAATACTAAAAATGTCACATCCAGGTAATTAAAACTATTATAATCATGAATTTCACTGATTATACGAGCAAAAAAACAACCAAAGGATATTTGTTAGTTTATTTCTTTTGATTATACACTATTCATTTAATTTAGCATTGATTCATGTGACATGAAGTAGATAACTTACCTGAAGTCATTTAGTCATATTTCTTTTTGTTGCCATACTAGTCATATAATCAACACAGATTTGTTGTTTTCTTCTTTATTTGATTTATCACTTTTATTCCGATCCTCTAGTCCATTTTGTTTTGTGATTTTAAGAGGACATGTACGTTTTCACTGTCCTGTGTTTATATGATTTTCTTGCTAATTTCAATTACTATGGATTGATATTTGATAACTATAATTTTCTATTAGCAGACAACCAATACAAAAATGGGCCGTTTTTTATTTAAATTAAATCACGTTTCTGCGTTCAAGAAAGTAACACACTACTTCCCTCCTTAAATAATTTAGCTATTTTGGAATAACCTATGACAGGCCAAGCACTCCCCTCTCAACACCTCGTCTACCGAAATTCTAGAACATAGACAATACTAATGACGTAACTGTCTAGTTAATATAATATAGTCGGTTTATATGTAATCCCTTAAAAATAAAACTTAATGATTTACAGCGACGCTCATGAAGGATTTGTTCACTAGCATATTTGTTACGTCAATTTATGTTCGGAAAAAATTAGCATTTTGCTAACTATTCTGAAACTTTATTAAACTTATCCTAGCCAGCATAGCACAATGGTGAAAAATTTAATTACCAGGAGTTTTAATCTCATGACAGCGAAAGAACACCAACCGACTGAATTGAATGTAATATTGTCTACACTTAGAGCGAACAAATCCCCTAGTTTTTAAAGAATATTGTTGGAAATAGAAGAAAAACCAAATTAGAGTGTATTCCAAAAGAATGGAAGAACACTATGGTCATCCCACACAGTAAAGAAACACCGGAAGCAATTAAGAGGATTCTAAACAAACATAATATGATAGTCTATATTCGGGTCAATAATACCATAAGATCAGCGCTAATGAAAGTTAAGGATAAGTTTCCCAATGACGAACAACAGGATGTTGTCTATGAAATCAATTGTCATAATTGTAATGCATTTCGCGTGGGAGAAACATCTAGACAGTTGAATATAAGGTTAAAGGAACACAAACAGTATTTGAAACATATCCCCAAATCCTCGGTTGATCTAAAGAATAGGTCGGCGATAGCGTTACATACGTTAGAAACAAATCCGACTTCAAAGGGACCAAAGTGCTTCAGAAAGGGTTGAGCTCGATAAAAATTATGACTAGTCCTTTTCATACCGCTATAATGTTGCTTAGATTGACGCACCAAATAAAATATATAACATCCTAACATGGATCTTCTACATGTTTACTGTTTCGGCTAATATATATGATCATTTCTTCATTAGTTCGTTTCTTTACCATGTGAGCCTTATTTGAGTCAACTAGTACATGGGGAGGCATAGTATTTATAGTCTAAAGCTCGAATCGACAAACATAAATGAGAGAAGACTTTTGAACAGCAAATAATTTTATTTGTGATCTGTACACTATAACAATGAATTTAAAGCCTGCTAATATACCATCATGAGTAAAGTGCATATAAACATGTGAATGTTTAGTAAAACAGTGGTAGTAGAACGCTGTCAAAAAAGTACTGTACACATAATTAAAGTTGAAACAATTTTTTTTTACACATTTAAGCTACACTATAACAACCGAAATTACTTTGATATATACGACTTTCAGATTCCAATTGATTCAATAAATGTTTTAGTGCATTTAAGGTTATGCGTGTTAATTGCAAACTATCAGGAAACGGCCGTTGTCGAATACTGTGTAGTATATTATGCAGTGATATTTCTTTATTTATGCCTAAAAATGAAATAAAAAGAAGTAGAAGTTCGAAATAACACTTGAAAAATTGTGGAATAATGGCTACTTGGTGAATACTCTCTTGCGTTTCCCGAAAAATTTTCATCTAATAGTCTAGTTAGATATATATGCATATCAAATAACCTACTGTGGAAGACAACAATTCAGCTTCCAGCTAAACAAGAAATTAGGAAAGACGCTGGAGGTGGGTAGGGCATACATTTCGGAAATCACCAGACTGCATCACGAGACAATCCAGAAGGGTGGAGGAGAACCAAGGAACACGCTGCGTCGAGAAGTGGAAGTAAACATCAAAAAGATGAATAGCAACTGGGAAGGATTGTCCAGGACAGAGTTCGATGGAGAATGTTAGTAGGTGGCCTGTGCTCATACACGAGGGGCAACAGGCGTAATTAAGCATATCAAATAGGTCGATTACCCTTCCTAGATTGGGAATTTTGTTACAAGCAACCTCATATCAGAATGAAATTCAAACCAAACCTTGTATACTGTTATCTATAGGGTTTAATCTCCAACCATATGTATATTTCATAGAGAAACTGACGTCTAGATTTTTTGTTTAACTGTATAAAGCGAAATAGGATATCAATAATCTTTTTTACCTAACGGCTGAAGAATATATTTTTGGTTGATGGGAAAAGTGCGAATTTTGTGATTATATATTTTTTTATGACTCAGTTGCTTAGAGCCCTTATGCAAACTGAAGCGCTGAAAGCAATAAAGGTACAGGTAGAAAACTATTTTTTATCACAATAATAGACGAGAAATGATAGATATCAAACTTAGTTATGTACATTGATTAAATGTAAAGAAGACTGTTAACTCTTTAAATGCCTTAAACTTTAATATTAAAACCACTGTCTGAGGTTTCCATGAATCGCAAAAAAACCCTTTAAAGCATGGTTGAAGCAAGTAATAGAATAGTTATATCGACTTTGTGGAAAGCTATCTCAGAATGAAACAATGATGTAATTCACAATAGCAATAAAAAATCGACTATCGTAATGAGCAGTACAAGCTATTCTGGAATTTCTTATACAACTAAAAACCTTAATCAGGATAAAAATATTTAAAACTGATTGTCATACATGCTAACAATAATCACCATTTTATTACGCAGTTCCGATTACATTCAATGATCTATTGACTGATGATTAACAACATAAAAATTACAATGCATGCGGAAATTACCTTGAGAAAAAATTATCCCATAAACAGCATCGAGTAATTTCTTATTCTCTTGAACAAACTAAAATTCAGTGAATTTGTAAATGATAAAAATTTACTTATTACAAACAAACTAGCCGTTTATGAACATTAACACCGAAACCCTACGCTAGTCAGTCAATTACTGAGTACAAAATACTTATTGCTTTATCCAATGCCATAAATCTAGAGTAAGGAATTCTCAGGAAAAATATGGAATATTCCAATAAATTTCAGTTTATAATCTATTTAACTTATTGATAATCAAGACATACTTTTATATTACATTGAGCTAACTCCGATTTGATCGTATCATGATGTTAACGAAATATACATCCCGGCTACCATCGTATTATAATTATCGACTTCATTCGCGTTAGAGAATAACGGAATGGGTGAGTAATTGATATGGTCGTAATGTAACTCAAGGAGAATAAGTAGATTGGTCTACAAGGAAGCTAGAACAAGCCATATAGGTTTGGCATAGTACTAGGCACTATAACACCTTGAAAATTTTCAACAGTGAATAACCGCTATTCATCTTCAATAAAGTTTTGTGGACAATTTTTACTGTTCGAATGTCTTTCTCAGAACACTGGTACTCTAGTTAAGTAGAGTGTGGACTTGTACGTGGTAATAGTTGAGTTGCATTTTACTATTTTATGTGGAAATTCCTAGACTGTACGAACTTGGAATTGTTTTCGTGGCCGAAATGATACAAAGGGTGAACATCAATAACATTAACTCAACCATTTATATGTAAAATAATAATACTAATGATCATTTTTCGGCAAACAGATGTCAGTCGACGTACAAGTAATCATAGAGATGAATCAAAGTGGATCCATGGTACGTTCATTTTTCTTAACACAAACCCACGAAAATACAAAGATTAATTAGGTAGATAAATTGTTAGCATTACAAAACAACTATTGCTAAGCGAGTCACTCTGTTTTTGTTACTGATGTTTGGTGGTTCCAACAGACCGGTCACCCTATCATGTTCAACGCTAAGCTGATAATTGTAGGTAACTCAATTGCCCTCTCTGTCACATATTTGTGACAATCGGTTTTCAAGTAATGAATCATACACTAAAGTACTACTTTCAAATATCATTTCTAATAATGCAGAAAAACAATATGAACGACTTATTGTCTACCAGAATCTCAGTTTTAACTATTTAAAACTTTACAAAAATACTCGTAACTTACATAATAAGTCCGCATACCTCCAATAGATTGAGTAGTTGGAAAAATCCAACCCTCAATTAATAATCGTTCAATCAAACTTGCAACTATAAGTTGTAGCTTTTTAGGATTGAGTACTTTATTCTCAGCTGCACTACTCTGCTCACCTTCATCAACTTCAATGAAACTTTGTCGAAGATAATCCGTTTCAGATTCATCATATGCCTTAGATTATCAATGAGATAAAAATAGTGCAAAAATGCAATTTAACGATAAAAAAGAATGATGGAAAGGTAGTTAATCAATTTATAAACAAATATAGACATCAGGGGAAAACGTTTTATGAACCTAACATTGAGGGGATTAGTAATACAGACCGTAGAATATCTCAGAACATGCATTAAAGCCGTATGAAACTAGAAATCTATCTTGACTTCAACGAATAACTAATTATATTTTGTTTGAATTTACAACAGTAACAACACATGAAAGTGTAAACAAATAACAATTCGATAGTATACAATTTTTAGGTGAAGATTTTGCTAATAAAACATATATTGTTAGCAAACAACAATTTAATGAGGAGCGGAAATGTGATCATATGGTTGTATCAATCAGTCCAAGTTTAATTGGATCTACATCTAATAA